TGACAGCTATTCATCCTTAGGAACACCTCCATCTATAGTAGTCCCTCCAAAATAGACTGTAGAGTTGGTTTGTGGGAGGTAAATTCTCTCAGCTTTTGCTTATCAGGAAATTGTTTAATCCCTCCTTCAAATTTAAATGATAATCTTGCCAGATAAAGTAATCTTGGTTCCAGGCCCTTCTGCTTCATAGCATTAAATACATCATGCCACTTCCTTCTGGCCTGTCTGGTTTCTGCTGAGAAGTCTGATGTTGGCCTGATGGGCTTTCCTTTGTATGTGATCTTATTTCTGTCTCTGGCTGCTTTCAACAGTCTGTCCTTATCCTTGATCTTTTCCATTTTAATTACTATGTGCCTTGGTGTTGTCTTCCTTGCGTCCCTTGTGTTGGGAGATCTGTGGATCTCCATGGCCTGAGAGATTATGTCCTTCCCCAGATTGGGGAAGTTTTCAGCAACTACCTCCTCAAAGACACTTTCTATCCCTTTCTCTCTCTCTTCTTCTTCTGGTATCTCTGTAATGCAGACATTGTTCCGTTTGGATTGTTCACACAGTTCTCTCAATATTCTTTCATTCTTAGAGATCCTTTTATCTCTCTGTGCCTCAGCTGCTTTGTATTCCCCTTCTCTAGTTTCTATTTCATTTATCATCTCCTCCACCATATCCAACCTGCTTTTAATACCCTCCATCATGCTCTTCAATGATTGGGTCTCTGACCTGAATTTGTTCCTGAGGTCTTGGATGTCTTTCCCTACCTCCATTAGCATGTTGATTATTTTTATTTTGAAATCCCTTTCAGGAAGAGTCATAAGGTCCATATCATTTAAATCTTTCTTGGGAGTTGTATCAATAATTTTACTCTGGACTGGGTTTCTTTGGCACTTCATATTTGTATATGGTTCCCTCTAGTGCCCAGAAGCTCTATTGTGGAGATGCTCAGCCCCTGAAGCAATGTCAGGGGCCACAGGGGAGCAGTATTGGTGCCTGCGGGGAGGAAAGAGCTGTTCCTGCTTCCCAGATTCTCTGCCTGTCTCCACTGCTTGAACCAGTGGGTCCAGCACACAGGTATAAACTTTTGTCTCAGAGCAGCCAGATGTGGATCCCTGCTTTCTACAGTGGCCAGGATCTCAGTCTACCCAGGAACTCCCCCTGTCCCAGCTTTCCAACCCTGTAATAAGAAGAGTATGATAAACACACCATGAAATGTAGGTTTGTGCTCCCAGTGCAGATCTCCAGAGCTAAGTGTTCAGCAGTCCCAAGCCTTTCACTCCCTCCCTGCTCAGTTTCTCTTCCTCCCACCAGTGAGCTGGGCTGGGGGAAGGGCTCACGTCCTGCTGAGCCACAGTTTTGGTACATTACTCCTTTCGGTGAGGTCTGCTCTTTTCTCCAGGTGTATGAAATCTGGCGCCATCCTCTTTACTGTTGCTCTCTCAGGATTAGTTGCACCAACTATATTTTCTAATTGCATCCAGTTTTAGGAGGAAGCCTCTGTCTCTCCTCTCATGCCACCATCTTTCAATCCATGGGAATTGTTACAGTTCTTTTAGAGTAGATATTGTCTGCCTGTGCAGTATCCAATGACTCAGAGTTTATTAATGATGCTCTTTTAATAACCCTCAATGAGGAAACCAAATGTACACTTGCCAAGGTACTCCTATCACAGCCTGCATCCTGAAGTCATAGCCTGCTACAATACAAGGTAGGTATCCACAGAAAGGGAGAGTAGCTCCACTGAGCTTTCTAGTCCAAATGTTTTGAAATATGTATTAACAAAATTTAAGTCATTTCACATAATAATGGGAAAGCTATGTTATAATCAACTTCTATTCAACAAGTATTTATTGAGCATCTACTATGTACCAGCTACTGTGCTAGGCACTCAAAAGCAATTAAGCAACAGAGAATGTCTAGCCCAAAGAAGCCTCAACACAAAAGGATTGAACTGCCTTCAAATACCTGAGGCTTTTTGGGGTTCAAGAAGGACCCATTCTGAGTAGCTCAAAAGGACTAAAAGAGGACCTACATGTGCACAGAATTGCAGTCATCATGCAAAACATAATTAATGACCTGTTGTAATAATAATGATGATAATGGCTAATAATTGTTCAGTCCATGGTACAATTCTTTCCAAAAAGCTTTACATGTATATTATCTCATTTAATATTTAGAATAACATTATGAAGCTAATACTATTGTAAATCTTACTATATTTATGCAAAACCAGTGTTCAGAGAAAGTAAGTAGCTTAGTTCTTGGGTTATAACTAAGAGACAATTGAACAGCCTAATGAATTTCAGAGCCTATGCTCTTCAAATTTTAACATGAAAGGGAGGTCTTTCTCACCATGAAAGTGTGCAGAAAGAATCAGTAAGAATTGATATGCAGAGGACTGTGTGTGGGCTTAAAGCATTTTTACAAGCATTCATGACATACCAGTTATTGCATAATATTTAAAGCTACACAGAAGATTCACTAGATGCACAGTGGACAGTCTGCCCTTGAGATCTTAAGAGTACTGGGAGAGAGAAATGCATACAAAATAATTACAACCACAGTGATAAGTGCAAATATGAAGTTATATAAAAATAACCATGGAAAGGACATGCAAATTCAACCCAAGAAAGAGGGAAGTGAAGGCCTCATAAGGGAGATGACTTTAACCTAGGTCTTAAGGGGTGCACAGGATTTTGCCATATGGAAAAGGGTAGTAAGTGATTCCAGGCAGAGCAGCAGTATTTTCTCAGGGATTAATGGTGTTCATTCATGGCCATGATTAGAGAAGGCAACAAGGGAAGTGGGAAAGAATTCCTGATGCCTTTAACCACTAATCATCTACATATTGAACCAGAGAAAGGGAAAAGGCCCTAAGGCCTATAACACACTAAGCATACTCCGTCCCTCTGCAGGAAAGCTGTCTGCATTATTTCACCTGATCCTCAAGGAGAGGTGGAAAGATGAGGTGCAAATGCAAAGCCAATCTGAATAAGGCCAAAGCCAAAGGGGAAAATTTGTGATATTCTCTAACATGTCCACGATGATATGGGTCAGTTGGGTGCAGTGAAGTTTTGGAGAGGTGAAACAACACACAAGGCTGCCAAGGTGAGGGGGGAGCACAGACCAGTCAAGCCGCTGTTGGCCAACAGTTACCCCCTCCACAAAAGTGTCAGTGCAGGCCAGCTTGGATGAGGCTGAAGATTACAATAGTGGTCAAGCATTGGGATTACAATATAGACACAAACTGTCTCATTCTACTTCACCCAGAACACTAATAGGCATAAAAAGAAATGGAACTGGCACAGTAATATAGGTAAAGAACAGAAGTCTGGAGTAGAAAAAAGCATGGATGGTACATCCCTCCCCTTCATTCCTCAAGTTAGGCCTAATGACAATTTTCTCCATTTGGTATTTATCTACACCTGGATAAGGCTAAAGGTGACCTCCTTTTTGTTAAAATGATTGACTTGATCCTTTCCTATCAATAGCTACAATATCTGGCACTTTGATAAGTATTTTTTAATTTGTGGGTGCTGCAGATTGTGAGAACCCCCATAAGATTTAAGGACTATCTTTTGTGCCAACATGTCACAAGAACTGAAATTACTCCAGGGACATTCCCACTACTTGAAATCAGATGGATTTGGTACTTGTTGCCAAGAACAAAAAAGGATAGAAAAACTCCTGGACACCATTTTCAAAGACACATTTGCCCACCTGGGAAGAGATCAGACTGGTATCATTCTCCTCAAATAGCCCATGATAATTCCTCTATTTGAATTCCTTTTTCAATGAAATATAGGTTCTTTTCATGAAGGAGATTGAACAAAGAGGAAACAGGAAGGTGGGGGAGAGGAAGGCAGGGAAGGACAAAATATGTCATAGGAAGAAGTAATTTAACCTGCAAGCATTTCTCAAAATGTTTCCCTTTCCACTTGCAATTAGTTTGAGTCAATATTACCTAATTCCATGATATTGTTGGAAATCATGGAGCCAATCTGACCTCTGTCCTTGGAAAATTACACAGGATGCCAGGAGTCTTTGGTTACTAAGGAATCACAGAGCCAGTAACATTAAATCCTCACATTTTTTTCTGCCACTCTTCAATGTCCCATTATCAAAACCCACTTCAAGAACACATAAGCAGAAATGCATTTTTTATCACTTTCCATTTTCGCTCCATCTCTGAGTTTTCCTTTCTGCCCCATAACTTCCTTATGGCTATTTTCACCTCTGCATTTCTAAGTGTGTATATGATGGGGTTCAGCAAGGGGGTGAGGACCATGTAGAACATGGCCATCAGCTTGTCCTCAGTGAAGGGTGGAGGGTGGCCGCATGTAGAGGAAGATGGCAGGTCCAAAGAACAAGAGGACCACCGTGATGTGAGAGGCACAGGTGGAGAGGGCTTTGCGCCTCCCCTCTGGAGAATGCTTCCTCAAGCTGACCAGGATGACGATATAGGAGGACACCAATAAGAGGAAAGAGGACAGAGCAATTAATCCACTATTGACCAAGACAAAAATACCCTCCACAGAGGTGTCAGTGTAGGCCAGCTTGAATAATGACTGGAGATCGCAGAAGTAGTGGTCAATCACATTGGTACCACAGAATGACAATTGGATGATGATCAGAATCTGAATTATGGAGTGAAAAAAGCCCCCAAGCCAGGAACAAGCCACCAGTACATGACATAGTTGGTGGCTCATAATGTTCTTATAATGAAGGGGTTTGCAGATGGCCACATAGTGGTCATAGGCCATCACCACAAGCAAAGGATTTCAGTCACACCAAAGAAGTGGAAGAAGAATATCTGAACCACACAGCCCTCCAGAGAGATGGTTTTAGTCTTGGCAGGTAAGTCTGTGATGAATTTAGGGATGACAGTAGAGAAGTAAGCTATCTCCACCAGGGACAGGTGGCTGAGGAAGAAGTACATGGGGGAGTGCAGACTCTCACTGCCGCTGACCGTCAGAATGATGAGGCCATTGCCCAGCACCATGGCCAGGTACACAGGGAGAAAAACCACAAAGCATGCTCTCTGCACCTCTGAGTCCTGGAAAAGACCCATGATAATTAACTCAGTCACATTATTTGTAGGTGCCATGGATTCCATTTGGAGAAGATGGATCTCAGAGAAGAGCCTTGTGACAAAACAAACACAATCATATCACAAATCTTTCATGTTTTTTTAGCACCTGCTTTGATAGATTCCTTTCACACATATTATTTGACTGGTTTATTTATTTACATGTTTGTTAACATAGCCAATGTTTATCCATTCACTGCTCAAAAGCCAGTCCAGTCAATGCTACTGACTAGACACTGTACAATCTACCTCACAAAAACTATGATCTCCATACCACAAATGAGAAAACTTGAGGCTCAGAGAGGCTGTGGAATAGCCAAGCCTCCCATAAGAAGTGGATCCATAACAAGAACCAGATCATGTTTTCCAACTAGTATGTTATTTCAAGTATACCACACTGAAAAAAAATCAACATTTTCAGCATTAATAACCACCTATATTAATTGCTGACAATTCTCCCATTCTCAGTGTTTCTCATGATGCTTTTGTGTTAGAATTCTCAAGTGACCTGCTTCTGAATCCCTTGTTTCCTCTCATTATTCCCCAGAAATGCCCATTTCATTAATATTTCTCCCTTTCTAAAGAGTATCTTCAGCATTTTCATTACACGAATTATATGTTTCTGAATTCCATCAGGTCCTGTGGTTTTTCCCAATCCCACAGCTTCATGAAAATTTACAAGCATTGAGAATATTTTGACACTTTGAACCAAAGTGGACCTCTGGAAGTTTTGAGATTATAGCTCACTATCAGACAATAGTTCAAACATAACATGCAGAGATTCACCAGTTTTCTTGTTTGTCTTCCAGTTTTTCCACCATTGGCAAGGATTTTTGTCAACAGGAGGTAAGGATCTATTTTAATTCAATTCTCTGGGCAAATATTTTATTAAGCACCTACCATGTGCTTAGGTGATTCAGCATATATGGAAGAAGAAAAGATGTCTCTCACCCTCAGGAAGCTTGCAACTTCATGCAATTCAACAGCACATTTATGAAATGAGGCAGAAAAAAACCTTCAAGGTTTTCTGTGCTTTTAAAATTTATTTGAAGTATCTCTTATTCCTCTTATTTTTCCTTCTCCCACTTGTACTTCCATGCTGAAATAGATTAAATACCTCCCCTGCCCCAGTTTTTCCCATAGTGAGAATTTGAAGACATACAAGCTGAAAAGGTGCTCAGAGCACCTTCAGTAAGTTACTGGCTAAAACCGGAGAAGAAATTGGGGGTTGTGTGGCATAAAAGAAGATCTCTGAGGAAGAACTGAACAGACTGAGGAATCAAGACAGCTACCTCCCTCACTGGTGCAAAGGAATGGAAATGAGAAAGGTTCAAAAACAACCCAAAGAGGCTGTGAAATAGTCTAGTGGTCTGAAGGAAATTAAGCATGTTACCTGATGTTCACCATTTTCATTTTTATCCCAACAACCACAGGAGCAAATACTAGCATTTGTTCAGTACCGACTATGGAAAGCACTTTACAGTCATCTTATTTCATTCTTCCTGTGCCACTCTGAGGTAGCTAATTGATAGGTTAGGCAACTCAAAGAGGTTATGTTCCCAAATACACACAGCTGGTGAATGATTGAGCCAAGGCTGAAATGCGGGTCTATCTAGAATGGGAGGGAGAACCACCTCTCCTTAGCCAAAGAACAGCATTAGCACTCCAGTGCCTGAGAGCAATAGCATCAAGACCCATGGGTGATACAAAATTTGTCCAAATCGATTTATCAGGATTTCCCTGTGAATAGCAGGAGCATATGAGGAAAACTAAAAATTATTGGGGATATTTTGATATCAAAATCTCTAGAACATGAGAAACTAAGAAGCTATATGGGATACTGTGCAGAATATGGGATGGAGAATGTCCCTTTCCTCCTCTGCCCATGGCAGGGACTTAGGGGTTAGAGCTGCAGCTAATGAGCCTGAGCTATGGGATCTCTCATTATTTCCTAGCTGGGGTGACATGACAGAACCCCTCTTCACATCTGGGTCTTACAGCAGCCATCATCATTCTCTCCTGCCCTCAAACTTGAATCCCTGGAGTTGCTTCTCATGCCTCTCCTGCACTTCCCATATTTACACAATCCTCATGTGGATAAAATGAGAGTTCCTGTGGCCAGGATTCTCACCTGGCCCTGGTTGACTAGCTCACTGCACACCTGTGGGCAATACATGGCTGTTGACTCTATATAAAGAGCTCCACCCAGTGCTCTGGGCACGACATGATGGCATGGTTGCAAGGCTGCAGGAGAGCAGAGCAGAGGCTGGAGTGACGGCAGTGCAGAGGACAGAGGCTCAGAGGATGGCTGTGTGGGATGACTGTGCAGAGAGGCCCAGAGGATGGCTGTTTGGGATGGCTGTGCAGGCAGAGAAGCCCAGAGGACAGCTCTGTGGACAGAGAGGCCCAGAGGCAGAGACTGGCTTGCTGCATACAGACTCGCTCTGAGTGAATGGGATTTTAGTGACTGGCCTGCCACCTGGAAATAAAGTTGGGTATAACCCTTTCACCCCGAAAACTTTTTGCTGTCATTTTCTTTGGTCACACTGAATCCATAGCAAACTTGTCCAGGGCTGAAACCCATTGGCAAGATACCCCACAACTTGTTAATTTTACCCATTTCTTCCCACCTTCCTGCAGCCTCCATCTGCAGGCAGGATATAGGCTCAGGTGAGGATTATGCAGCTCTTAGATGTGCCATCTGTCTCCAGGTGTTCCTAGACTTCCCCCAGTCTGTTCTGCACATGAAGTCAGAAATTCTTCCCTCTCCTTGGATCACTCAGAAACCACCACTGTCTCCCTTTTGCCTAGAAATCAGGCCTAAATCCTTCTACCTAACTTGTAGAGCCCTCTGAAGTACTTCTCCATACCTCTTCAAAACAACTTCATTGACCACTAAACAACACATAATATTGTTCTATTCAGAGGTCTCCTCGCCTTTTCATGAATGCAAATGGATAGCCACCACAAGACCTTATATTTAAGCTCTCATTTTCTGCATTAAATGCTGTGCCTGCCTGTCTTTGCGTCCCTCTTCAAGGCTTTCCCACTCAATAATGTCATTTTTCTAGGAAACATTCCTGGGTACTTCAATACTAGTTCATTTATCACAGCTCTTAACTCTGGAAATTAGCTTTAGTGATTGTTTTTAATGCAATAAGGCACATAGTATTCAGCTCATAGCAAGCCCTCAAAAATTTTAAGCTAGTATCATTATTGTTATATTTCTAAAACACAAATCTGAACAAGTTATGCATTGACTTGAGATCTCTCAATAGTTTCCTATTGCCTATAAGACTGTCTAATAGTATTAGCATGGCATGTGAACTGGATCTTATTTGTCTTTCTAGCTTTACTTGCCATCTATCACTCTCCAAGAGCCTATATTCTAGCCTTTCTGAAATAATATATATTTTTTTACTTTTTTTATTTTGTTATCATTAATCTACAATTACATGAAGAACATTATGTTTACTAGGCTCTCCCTTACCCCAAGTCCCCCCCCCACAAACCCCATTACAGTCACTGTCCATCAGCATAGTAAGATGTTGTAGAATCACTACTTGTCTTCTCTGTGTTGCACAGCCCTCTCCCCTTTTCCCCACCCCCCACATTATACATGCTAATCATAATACCCCTTTTCTTCTTCCCCGCCCTTATCTCTCCCTACCCCTCCATTCTCCCCAGTCTCTTTCCCTTTGGTAACTTTTAATCCATTCTTGGGTTCTGTGATTCTGCTGCTGTTTTGTTCCTTCAGTTTTTCCTTTGTTCTTATACTCCACAGATGAGTGAAATCATATGGTATTTGTCTTTCTCCACTTGGCTTATGAAATAATATATTTTTTCAGCTTGCTCTTTACATATGTTGTTCCCCTTGGTTGGTTTGCACACCTGGCTTTCCAACTAATATTCCTGTTTTAATGCACAGGTCAAACACCAGTCATCATTGTGCTCCAGCCAGTACTTTTTCCATGTTCTTTACATCTTCTTCTGGAGTATTTAGCAAATTTTATTATAATTATTGTTTGTCTCTCCATAGCTGAGCTTATTCATGTCCAAATATTCAGAACTACATACACAGGAAGTGCTCAACAAATGTTTATTGAGTTGAATTTTAAATGAAGAAATTTTCTACCACCTATACTTAGAACTACACAATTTGTTACATTTTATTTTTAAACAGACTTTTATTGATCACTATGGTTTCATGTTGCCCTATTTGTCCTCAGAAACAGAGCCTATTACTCTTTGAACCTACAGAGCAACTAAGCATCAACCTCACAGATGGTGCTCAATAAATATGTAGACCCTTGATGATAAACTGGTTAAATAATAAAGCTGATGAGAAGGAACTAGATTCTTTAATGCTGTATTTTAGTCTAATGATAATGCCATCATTTTCCTTTGAGTCTGTGGTGACCTTATATAACCTAGATGAGATTTTTCTCACCAAATATCTAAAGTCATGAACAATGCTGACCATTTCTATATCAGAAACAGACATTTTGCTGCACTGGGTCAAAGCCACACATGTTGCAACTTTGCCATTCAGGTATTTTCTCTACTTCATGGATTACTTCCATGAACTGGGTGGGGAGGACCCTAAAATCATTATGTTCCATTGAAGACATTTGTTGTTCTTACTTTTGTCCACTATTACTTGGACATGAATTGTCCAAATCTCATGTAAAATACCAAATCTCTTACACACATACACACATCATATCTGAGTCTAATATATTGAGGTTACTGTGGGGAAGTTGGGGTTCCTGTGGCCAGGATCCTCACTGAACTTAAACCACCTGATGTTGAAAATGGCCTGTTGCTAGGCTACCACTTCCACATCTTTAGGCAATAAGCTATTATTGCACTATATAGAGAGCTTGGCCCAGTGCTCTGGGCCAAGGCAGAGACACTAGTGCTCGACCTACTGCAGGGAGAACAAGCTGGGTAATAAACCCTTTCACCCGAAAGAATGTTTTTCTGTCAATTTCTTTGGTCACATTGAATCCATAGTG